AAGATTTACGTGATGATGAAACTTTTTGTTGCCTATAAAAAGCAGTCACTTCCTGCTAGGTAAATGCCTTGGTGCTGGAGACATGCATGAAGTACTTGGGAGTGCTGAAACACACTTGGATTTGTTTTCATTGCAAGCTGTTATTTTGTCAGGACACAGGGTGGCAGTGACATGGAAACACTCATTATATGAAATAGTCTAGAGAGTCTTTTGGTGAGTGTTCTGCTTCAGATCTGTGTTGGATATATCCAGCTTGGCACTTGGGTATGTATACAGCTATACCTATGAAAGCATTTGGCATGTCCTGTGGATTGTGCTTGGCAAAAATTCTTTGAAGCAGTGCATAGATGCACAGCCAGGTGTTCCTGTCTCCTAAGCAGGGAAATAGCAATTTCTTATTCCTATCTCTAGAATTCCTATTCCTAAATAGGGAAATGAAACCAGGGGAACCACACAACCTGCCCGAGACCACAGCAGAAGAGCTGAGATAAAAACATAGATATTTTTGATGCTAAAATATATAGAGAATCACAGACAGGCTTGGGTTGGAAGAGACCTTAAAGTTCACCTCATTCCAATCCCCCTGCCATGGCCAGGAACGCCTTCCACTAGACTAGGTTACTCAGAGCCCCATCCAGCCTGGCCTTAAAAACTTCCAGGGATGGGACATCCCCAGCTTCTCTGGGCAACCTGTGCCAGGGCTTCACCACCCTCATTGTAAGGAATTTCTTCCTAGCACCTAATCTTAGTCTCTTCTGTTTTAGTTTAAAACCATTCCCCTCTCCTATCTCTATATGTCCATGTAAGAAATCATTCTCTTTTTTATATTGATACAGCTGTAAATTCCTACTATAGCAGCAGCTGCCTGCAGAGATGTGCATGTAAACATGCAGTGTCCTCCCACAGACTGCAGTAGAGGGCAGGGTCCTTTAGGATGAGTTTAAGGGACCCTCAGCAGCTTTCCATCATTCCTGTGGGTGTCCCTGAACACCAATCTGCCCAGCCTTCCATGGAGCTCTCATAGACCATCTCTGGTCTGTGAGTGAACTCACCCAAGATGCAGCAACTCACCAATAAATTGAAAACTCACAACATGTAAAGTGCTCTCAAAGCCACCAACTAACAAAACCCCAAAGACCAAAAACAAAGAAGAAATATTTTTGCCACTTTTTTTGCACTTTCCAAGATCAGTGCTGCTGCTTTAAGACCAGCTGTTCTTTTATACCCATATCTCATGAACTGAAAACATCAGTGGAGATGTTTTCAGTTCATGAGATACGGCTGTATCCTTCTAAAACTCTGGTATTAGGGTCCATTCTACTACAAAAAAAGTGTCCAAGGCCAGTCTGAATGGGGCTTGGAGGAATCAGATCTACTGGAAGGTGGTCTTGCTCATGATGAGGGAATTGGAACTGGATTATCTTTGAGGTCCCTTCCTACTCAAACTATTCTGTGATTCTAAAAAAATAGCCTGAGTCCTGTAAGCGCTGCAGATGTTTACTAATTCTTATCAGGTGCTGCTAACAAAACCACCTGGAAGCTATCTCCATCAAAATTAAATAAAGCCTGGCAAGAAAAGCAGGTTAAAAAAAAAAAAAAAAAAAAAAAAAAAAAAAAAAAAAAAAAAAAAAAAAAAAAAAAAAAAAAGGTAAGAAAGAAACAATCAAATGTACTCACAGCCTTGAGCTGTGAAGGTGCCTAAGTGAACAGCTCATGCATTTTAACTCCCTTCTTCCTGTGCTGCAGTGCTCTTGATTTTGGGATTCTTTGATCCACCTATTCATAGCTGCAAAGTGAGCAGAATTTAATCAGGCTCTGACAGGGCATGGTTGATTTTAATACTAGCCTTCAAAAAAGAGCTGTCAGTCAGGGATGAGCTTTAATATCTTCAACCTGGAGCTCCTTTACAGTTCTGCTGCAGTTGAGTGTTGCCTGGTCAGCAGTGGAGCAGCTGGGCATCTGCAAAAGGCACTGGGGGTTATCTGGGCACTACCAGGGGAGTCCACTGGGGCTATTCCTCACCCTCTCTAAAGGGGGGGGGGGTGTAATGAAACTGGAATTTCCAGGCCACATGAGAAGAGGGATTTCCTTGTTGAATAAGGAGTGGCTTTCCTAACTGCACATCCCAAAAATCCTGCTGAGCTTCAGTGGGCCAGCAGGTAAGGTAGGTTGATAGTCACTTTAAACCTTTCCTTATTGTAGCTGGAATGAGCATAGTGAAAACAAAGGCTACTTTCCCTACCTAATCTCAAGTTATTTTAGCTGGAGATGTTAGATAAAATAGTCAGTGACTAGCAGAATTATAGACTAGGGGTTCCTTTCAGATTTACTATCTGCCAACACATACCATTCAATCAGATAAACACAGGATTTCAGCTGTCATCACAATATCTTATGCATACTTAAAAATAGAGCAGTTTTTCTCACCTCAAGAAGAAATTGAACAGGTTTATATAAAGGATGTGTACAGTCAGGAGGTTAGAAATTTTGAAATAGTCTGCCAATTCTAGAGAGATTCCCTATTTTTAAATTAAAGAATTATATTAGAAGTAGTAGAAATTCTCACGGAGAAGTTTTATCATTGGCAGCTGCACTGAATAAATAAAGGGAACATCTTGAATAGTTGGACTATACAGAATGAGGCAAATTTCTGTAAGACTTTCAGCAGAGAATATGAGAGTATTTAGGGATTCAGAAACTTCTCTGTGTGGGAATATCCTTCCTCCTCTGCTTTATACATTTCCGTCCTTGCTCTTTTGTCTGTTTTGGTTCATTGGGCCTATCACTTTTAATGCTTGAAAGTCTGCGAGGCAGAGAGGCAAGATGACAATCTAGCAACACCCCAGCTATATCTTAATCCAGTTTTCACAAGAAATGTAATTTAAGCACTTGCTGATTAAAGCCTCCCTCCTGAAAGCACCCAACTTAGGCAGAACCATAGAATCATAGAATAGTTTGGATTAGTAGGGACATTAAAGATCATGTCAAACCTCATGTAGGTAAAATGTACACTTCTTGGCAATGATGCTTTACATTACGAATTTGTGAGTATGGAGATGAGTATGGCTTTTTGGCTTGAGCATATAGCTGGTATTTGAGATTTTAATTATATCCTTTTTGAGGAGTAGCTAATGCCATGGTCCAGAATATTTTTGAGATCCAGCCTGATTTGTTTACGAGGGATGCACAAAACAGCTTGGCTCTGCAAGCATCATATGAGCAGGCATCAGCAGGCAGTTTTCTTGCTGAAAAATCTGCTGATAGGCTTCCCTGTTCTGCTCTGCTGCCTTCTCTCCTGCTCAAAAGCCTCCTTTTTCCTGAACACTGACATATCTTGTACCTTCAATCTCATAGAGTGCCAGAGAATCCGTAAGGTTGGAGATCTCCAAGGTCTTCACGTTCAACCTTTGAGTGAATTCCACTTTTCCCACTAACCCATGTTGCAAAGTGCCACATATACTCATATTTTGATCATTTCTAGGGATGGGAACTCCATTATATCCCTGAGGAACCTGTTCTAGTGCTTAACCACTCTTTCAATGAAGAAATTTTTCCAAATACCGAACCTGAACCTCCCCTGGTGCAACTTGAGGCCATTACCCCTCATGCTATTGCTAGCTGTGATATTACATGCCTAGTCTGATAATTCAGGTTTTGTCATCACCTTTTGTTCTGAGATGTCCTTATTTGTAGCTGCTGGTATTTTCCAGCATAACTGGAGCTTGCCTGCTCTCATCCCCTTCTGTATTCTACTGGGCTGCACCAAAGTTAGCTCAAAAATGATGTCCTGAGCTGTTCAGCATCACAGTGTCTTTGAAGCCAAGGCTTGGACTTCACTTCTGAGACCAGCTGCAGCAAAAGGACTTTATTTTCTACTGAAGATAAGGGAAAGAATTCACATCCTGAGAGCATTCCTCTCACTGTTTCCCTGCAGGGGGGAGGCTTATGATTTTTCTAGCACATGCAAAGGCACTCTTGAGGAGTTCTGCTGTGACAGATTGTCCTACTGCCCGTGGAGACACCATGACAGCACAAGATGCCAAATTTCTTGTTGCTTGGGCTTCATCCCTTCGTGGTTAAGCTCTTATGCACTTCAGATAAAGAAATTACTACTGGGTTGCAGGTCTCCCAGCTCAGCTGTAAGAGGGTCTTTTTGTTTTCCACAGCACCCCTTCAAGCTGGGTTTTGGCTACAGAGGCATTTTGTGTTGGGCAATGCAAATAACTAACACAAAGGTATTGCAAGGCTGAAGTCCAGTGTGGGTGGTTTTTAGCCTTAAAGGCTTTATATTTCTAGTTTTTGTTTTGTTTAGCTTTTTTATTATTTTTGGTCTGTTTCAGAAAAGCTTTTCACATACAGTGATCTCCCAAAGAATTTATTTGAACTCATTGGTGGGTGGTGCATACATTATGGGCTGTGGTTTCATTGATATGCTCAGCCTCACTAAGTAGATGGCATATTAAATGTTTTATTTACCCTGTGTGCTACCTGTCATCTAATCAGCTTTTGTGTTTCTGCTGCATTGTGTTTGCATTATAGTGAGAATAAGTGGTAAATTAAAACCACATGAAACCTTTTAAAGTCATTTTAAAATACTAAATGGGTTTGCAAATAGGTTTGTCGGACAAGGATTGGAAAAAGAGCTCTTTGCTTACCTATTTACTCTTCTGTATGCTTATTAGAAGTCCCCACGTGACTTTTTCATCAAACATTGCGCCTCAGTTCTCATTTGGAATGCCAGAGTCATTTATACTGTGCTTGAGAGCACTTTGCATAAACAGGAGGCAGTTAACAAAGAATACAATTGTGAGCTGCGATTGCAAAGGTTATATTATAAAGTACAACACAGATGTACAATAAAGTCAAGACATGCAGCACTGTTTTCTCGTTTGCCTGGAGCATAAAAGCACGTTGGCTTAAAAGTTTCTTTGCCGTTATTGACAATTGTTGCCAATATGGATGGTTGTGATGCTTTCACTGAATCATTTTGTTCCTTACAGGTGGATCGTATCATCTTCTGCGTCTTTTTGGAGGTTGACTACAAAATTTTCAAGAAGAAAATGGGCGAGTTTTTCCCTCTAGGTAGGTATAGTAATCAAGTACCATTTGACTTTAAAAAGGCATGCAGAAAAAATGCAACAGTTGGCATCTTTTCTTCTTTCCAAAGCCAAGTACTGAAATGTGAACTTTCTTTAAAGATCAGCTGCACATAGAGGCTGTGATCCTGGACAAATGCAGACATTTAACTACATCTAATACTGCTTTTGTATGCTCTGTACAGCTAATCTCTTCTTTCCATGCTGTGTGTGTATCTTTTCCCAAAACTTGGTGCATGGCGCTGGCTCTCTTGACTCTTGAGAAGGAAATTATTTGCAATAATGTATAGAGATCCTAGTGTATATTGCTTTTCCGTACACTTTGTACACACTTTGGTCTTTCATTAACAATGCTGGTAAGGTTTCCCTGGGTCTGAAAAGATACTGCAGGGGTTAGAGCCCAACTGTGTCTGAATGAGGACTTTAAACTTGAGCTGTCCCTGTGCAAGAATGAATGGGAGAATGATAGCTCTCACTGGAGCACTTGGGAAATGTTAGCCATTCATCTTGGATTTCATACAGGAGGTTGCTTTCTAGATTTAAGGAAACCTGGTGGATAGTAAATTTGCTAATCCCCCTCCTCCTATAAACCTGTGATTTATTTTTATCATACATCATTTGAAATCTGCTCTCCGTAATTTTATCAACCCTAAAACTCCTCCCATTTTATTTTGCTTTGTGCTTACATCAGTCCAACTATGTGTGGAAAGATCCAGACTTTAGTGTTCTGTTTTATCTCCCAATAGTCCCCATGCTGTCTGTCTTGTGGAAATGGCCCTGGAATAATAGGAAGCAGAGCTTTGGTGTGTTCAGAGTCCCGTTAATTTCACAGGACTGTGTTGTTACTGTAGCCACTGTGGTTTTTTTTCCTTTTGCTTTGTCTGATAGCATGGAAATTGTGATATTTTTGTCTCATCTCACTGGAACAAAGCTTTTGTAGATGACTTTGTAATCACCATTTTGCAGTGATTGGCAGCTGAAAGTTAAAGACCTATTGGATTATTCAGGTAGTGCTGAATGATGTCTAACCATTTAATAATATTTTTGTCTGGAGCACACTGAACATGCATTTCAAGAAGCTGCATTCATGTCTAATCAATTCATTGAGTGATTTTGCTTTTTTGTCAGCGTTCCCAACCCAAAGAATAAAGTGGCAGTACCCTGCCTGCTGTTGCTGGCTGTGTTACTGCCCTTCAGATTAAGTGAGAGAAGAATATAGCATCAACTGGTCAACAAATCAAGAGTATTAATGCTCACTTTCATATCTAAGGCCTTGGAAATCGTGGTATAAAGCCTGGTACTGTTTCTATAAATGTAAAACTCACTTGGGTTTGAAAGTTTGAGAGACAAGGAGATGCTTCAGAGCTGTATCATGACAAGCCCAAAGGCAGAAAGACAGCAAAGTGGAAGATTTATTTCCTTTGGATTTCTTTTTTAAACCTGACATTGCTGAACTCCTGTTTACAAAGAACCTGTGCAGCTGAGTCTTGTGTTATAGAAAAACATACAGTTGCATTACACCACATCACGTAGATGATCTGCCATACCAGTTTTAAAAATATGTTTATTCTCATGTATGTAAAGGTTTTATGATTTTTTTTTTTTTTACTCGAGCTAAAATTGGGATTCTGATACCACAGACAGGTGGTCATGGTAGGGACCCTCTAAATCCAGTGTTTTACATATGTGGCTATTAAAAAAGGTTCATCCAAAATTTACAACTGTCCAGTTCTCAGTATCAGAAATTCAGATAGATTATTACAGGATTAGGTATAGTTTATTAGGTATAGCTTATTAAAATACCATAGACTCCTGGTCACAATATTCTCATAACTAACGATTCTGATTTTGATATGCCTTAATGTTACTGGGCATCTGCTGATTAGCCAAAGCTAATCAGAGGAACCAGTTTAGCTCTAGAGCTTTATTCCTGATGCAGTGAAGGATTTCCTATGGGTGAATCAGTAGCCAGGGATTCAGGAAGTTTTTATTTTAGTGTTTTATTTTTAGTGTCTAGATCTTCACCTTGTGAGGAGACAGGGAGAGGCAGGACTTTCTTCCCAAATGACTCTCCTGTAGTGTTTCCTGCACAGAAGACTTAGCTAATGTGGTTCTGTGTCAAGGAGATAGCAACTGCCTCTACCTTTGGCAGTAAAGTCCTTATATTTGTACTGTGGAAGACATTTATGAAACTGGTGTTTTTGTTTTGATTTAAAGGAAATCTATTAATTTAGTGAAATTAAAGTATTTAAGGATAGATTTGCCCTAAATTTAAATTGATAGGACACTATCTAAACAATCACAGGAGAGAATAGCACTGAGGTATTGCTTTAAGCTTAGAAAAAAATACAAGGCATTTTAGAAGTGCATCTTGCATTCAGAAACATTGTGAAATATATCTACTTTAACAGATGTGGACAAAAATGCTTAGAAAGAAGAATATATTCATGGAGTTATATACATAAATAGTTATTACTTTAAACCCACTGCATTCATAAATCCAAAAAGACATTCAAGTGCTTGAGCTAGTCAAGTGATAATGAAATGAAGCTAGAATTACACCTCAGTGCATTAGAGTAAGTGGAATATAGATATAGGGAAATTGTTCCATTAGGTGAACATATCATTAGGCCTATTTTGCAAGTGGAATGCCAAAGAAATTAGTCAAGTAATAATATTGATATCAAGACAACTGCCAAGAGCCTTGTCATTTTCAAACTTTAAATATATAGGGGGGAGAGACAAACTTGGAAGTAATGTCATGTCTTAGCAGCGTAACAAAGTTGTGCAGTAGCCGAGCCATTGTCACTGTCTCAGCGTTTCTGGTTCAGTCTCAGTGATTGCAGAGCCCAGGCCAGAGCCAGCAGGCTCCAAGGCAGAGCAGAGCACCACTTACCTTCGATTCAGACGTAGCTCCTCGTGTCTGCCCTGTCCAGAAAAGTCCTGGTTTGGTTAAGCCAAGGGTCCTAGTCAAGGCAGAATTTTCCATTGATCCCGTGGGGATTTGCTGAGAAGATTTTGTATATTCTGCTAAGAAAAGAGCAGTAGAAACAACAATTTTATTTGCTTAAGATGGATCACTCTTTTAATATATGAAACAGTGCCACAGTGACGGGTTTTTTCTTTTTATCTCCTTGTGCAATGACACAGCCCAGCTCCTCTCCCTGCACCCGTGTTGGAGCATTCTCTCCCCTTAAACTGAGACAATGTCTTTCAGGCAAATAAAATATCTTTGCCTGCAGTTCTGGCTCATATGTGTAGCTCTTACATTTCCGGATCCACTGCTGTTAGTAGGATGGGTGAGTTTTCTGCGAAAGGAACTGCTACTTAGATCATTTTTTCTTTTGGAATGCATTGTTTCTTCTAATAGAACTCTATATGGAGTCCAGACATTAGGCATCACTTTTCTTGCTAACTAGACATATTTATAAGACTTACCAGAAAATGGAATCCCCCTTGAAAAGCAAGATTTGCCAACATTTACCTTGGAGTGATACATACTTCTAGGATTCTATACATAGGAGGAAAATGAAGAGCATTTGTAAACAGTTGCCAGCTGGAGCAAAGATATCTTTTTTCTTCCTGTATTCTGTGTACACAAAGCTACTTACTATGTCAGACAGATAATCTTGTAAGGACCTTTGGCAAATGCTTATTTTTCATGGTGGCTGTCATATATTATAAACGGTTTATCTTCAATTGTAATGCTTAAAGTATTTCTAAATCTACCACCTGTTACCAGTGGATTGGAGAAGAGAAACATTTTTTTCTGAAAATGTTTTTTAGACAAAAAATAACGCTATAAAAGGGATGTCCTGTGAAGCTGCAGCATCCAAGGTTATTTTACTTCTTGCCACTTTAAACAGAGTAACAAAATTACTTCACTAAAACATTGCAAAAATTTTTGGAGAAAGGATGTTTGCACTTTCACTAGGCCTGTTGACAGATGGAAGGTGCATGTTTTTAGACTCATGTCCTTTTAGACCTAATGAAAGGATGCTGAGCCCAAGAGCTTTTTTTTTCTTTTCTTTTTTTGAGCTGTTATCAGTTGGTATTAGGAAAAAGAGAGATTGCTGCATCTTGAGAAAACTTTCTCTTCCCTCTATTACAGGTTATGATATTTAATGCATTTTATGCTTTCATCCTGGTTGATGAAAACACTGTTTCCCCTATCCAAACCATATGGATGAGAGCTACTGCCTAATAATAACTGTAATTCTGTTACTTCAGGAGGAGGGTGCACAGCATCCCGCTTGTGTATAAAATGTGCAAATATATTACAATTGCAGAAGAAATTCATTGTTAAGAGATCTCCCAGGCTTGGAATCAAATTGGAAACTGTCTAAATGGCTGAATGAAGGCCTTTGTATTAAAAAGGCCAATCTCTGCACTAATACGTGAGCGAACTCCTAAGCAGGGGCTGTAATATCTGTACTGGTTTTGAGAGGCATTTCTCTCTCTGCTTACTATGGCAGACTGCACTGGGGCTGGAGCAGTCCTCTGTATGAGCAGAGCACTCATAAGTTAGCCCTTAGTAAGTAGTCCCGTATCAAATGGATAATTCATCTGATAAATTTAGCCTCTCTATTTGCATTTGCAGCGTTCATGAGCCAGTTCGTTTCCATAATTCATCACCTAAATGTATTCCACAAAATATTTTTCATGGGCTTTATTTTACTCTGTGGAGAGGTGCCAAGCAGTTTACTGGAAGAGCCCGATATCCTTTATGGGAAGCTTCACCTGGGCAGTGATTTGCCTCATAAGTCACAAGGCTCTGGTTTTCTGAATGGTTCAGGCTGGAGTAAAAAGGGCACCAAAGCTTGGGACCCCACAGTATTGTCCTTTAGGGAGTAAAATTTGGGGGAGTTTGATACGTCCTTGGTTTTTTTTCTCCTGATCAATAAGGGCCATCCTGAAGGTTTTAGTTGGAGCTGCTTTCCCTGTGTCCATACAGGTTTTCCAAGTTGTTGTCTTCACAGCTGATGG